TATACTTAGTACAATCATGAATCATAAAAATATCTTTTATCTTAAACTATAAAAGCTCTCAAACTTGCGGCGTGTTTTTCAATCTGCTCTTGCTTGCCCACTTGGGATCTTTAGGGTTGGTTGGCATTTTAGTGGATTTCAGTATGATCATTGGCTTGTATACTGGCATCGGTGTCGCTTTCACCTCTGCTAACTTGCGAAGCTCGGCTCTTTCGGATTTTTCTTTGAGCAGTCTAAGCTTTTCCTCTTCCTGTCGCTTTGCTTCCATTTCTTGCTCTCTCTTTCTTATCTTCTCGTCGAATTCCTCTCGTTTCTTCGCTCTTTTATCGCTGTTCAATTCTAACGCAACAGTCTTCTTTTGATTACCCTTCACCGAGTCTTTATCGTTCTCATTGTCGCTGTTGTCTTTAAGCGGTTTCTTATGCGTTTTGTTGGTTGCTTGCTCCTTCGTTTCGCTTTTCTTTTCTTCGTTCGCATCGATAATATTTGGCTGCTTGTTCTCTTGATCGACAACGATTTTAATTTGTTTCGTTGTGCATTCTTTGTTCACGTTTCTCTCTTTGCTTTGTGTGTTCTCTTTAGACAAACCATGCACCGTTACAGGTTTAAAAGTCGGCGCAGGATTGGCGTGAAATACACGCGACTTCTTGTTATTCTCCTGGATCTGTTTAACAAAATGTTCTTTCTTCTTAGCCAAGCCCTTATCTCTTTCGGCGAAACTAAAAGGACACGAGACCACTGTTTTTTTCTTGTCTACAGGTTCTTTAACCGAGTTTAACAGTTTCGAAAATTTTGGTATGGGCCTCGCGTGGAACCCAGTTTTCAGTTTATTTGTTTCTTGCTCCTGTAAGTTCTTCAGTTTTTCTTCCCTCTTCATCTGAAATTCCTTGTTGCGTGCCTCAAAACTGTACGGCAACACGTTTGACACAGATCGTGCAGTATTATCAGTGGACTGTTTGGTGCATGCATCGTCTTTTTTAAAAATACTGGAGGCACTAGTGGAACGACTTATTGCTACAGTGTTTCTCGGAGTCTGTAGTTTATCATGTTTTCTAACAGTTGATGCACTGACAGAACGATTCATTGGTAGAGTGTACTTATAAGTTCCTTCTTTGTTTTCCTTCTTAGCAACATTTGAAGCACTGATAGAACGAGTTATTGGTACAGTAGTCTTATGAGTTCCCTCTTTGCTATCTTTCTTGGTAACGTTTGAGGCACTGGTAGAACGATTTATTGGTGCACTGGTCTTACGAGCCTCAACTTTTATATTTTTTTTAGTCACACTTGAAGCACTGGTGGAACGATTCATTGAAACAGTACCTCTATGACTCTGTATTTTATCATCTTTTTTAACAGTCAAGGTATTGGTTGAACAAGTTACTGATACAGTGTTCTTATGAGTTTGTATTTTATCATCTTTTTCAACAGTCAATGCACCAGTGGAATGACTTATTGGTACAGTGCTCTTCTGATCACATTGTTCTATTACTTGGGGAACTGCTGTGTAACGTGTTTTCCTTGACTGAGTCAATTTAAACTCCTCTGTGATAGTAACTGGTTTCTTTACAACCTTTTTTAACACGGATGGTCCCTTTAAAATATTAACAGGAACAGGATTCGCTTTTATTTGATTTTTCTTCATCTCTTCAAGTTCCATAGCTTCCCGTTCCTCTTTACTCAAAACATTAGTATGTCTTACTCTTTGCTTAGATCTTAATGCAGGAGAAATTGGATGAGTCAGTTTCAATGGGGACCGTTTTAATTTCATTAAGGGACCTGGCTTCAAGTCTTTTTTACTAATGGTTCGAAATCGTTGAGGTGTTCCATTTTGGAATTTAGACACTGCTTCTGCCATACTTACAAATTGATTTGAACATCTACGATATTTCATCAAACTTCGTCTACGATATTGACATGTAAGCACTTTACGTTGCGATTGCTTAGTTTTAAAGATATCGGACTGCCTCCGCTGTGCTGAAACAGTTTTATAGGGTAATTCTTTGTTCAAAGGATTCGCTTCACCATACTCAGAACAATTATTAACTTTTGCATTTGCTACTGGGTCATTGTTTATTTTTTTTAATGCATTTTGTGTGTTAGCTTTCTTTGAAGGTTTACGAAAGATGTTATTCTTCATTTCAACAATTGCACTTTTCCTAATTTTCTCAGCTGCTGCTTTAAGTCTTTGTGGCTCCGATGTTGCTTTGAACACAGAAGTTAGATCAGCTATAGAAACATTCCATGCATGATAAAGTTTATTAGATTTCGAGCATTTTGTATCTTTCTTTACGTTATCATTATTTGTCTCTTTTGCAGGCTGTTTTTTATTATCATGCGGTATGAAAAATACCATATTAGTACACTTATCTTGTGCAGGTTCTAAACTATCATCGAATTTTGTTTCGGTAATCAATGATTCCTCTCCCAGATTTTCTTCATTAGATGGTAAGGATGAATCAGATTTCAAATTCGATTTCAAATACATTTGAGCATTGTGTATTTCGTGCTCTATCTCGAAATAACTGTCAGAAGGCAGCTGTGGGCTGCAAGTGAAGTCTGCCCATTGCGGAGCACAACAATTGTCCATCATATTAATGTATAATAAACCAAATTCTTGAGAAAATGTTACAACGAACTACCGTCAACAGCTGAACAATATTCAAATATAATCTGTAAGGAGGAGTAAACGTGAATTAAGTCGTACTTGCTTCATACGTAATTAAATTTCTACACATCATTAAACTGCGAATGTAATAATTAAAACTGTACCGTTCCCACTAATTCTTATTGTTAATTATTCGCTTCGTTTGATCATTTTGTCACCACTTTTCAAACAGCCCACACCGTGGGAACAAAATGCATTGAAATAAAATATTTACTTTCCGAAGACGGAAAAAGCTTAGCATCCACTCGGTGTACGTTGGTCAAATTTAAGTTTGAAATTTTTGAAACATTCATTCGATTGGCTGAGGCAAAACAGTACGCATATGACAAAAGTAAAATATCTCTAGATCTTGCTAGCTGCATCAAAGGTCAATAGTCAGTATAGACAACCGTAATACAAAATTTCTATAATTTTCAATTTGAAAATAATGAATGGATCTTTTAAATAATTCATTTGAATATTAATTTATCTTGTTCCTGTTTTTTATGCTTCAATACGATATATTATGAGTGTGTATGTAAAGCGTATATGTAGTACGCATATCTAGCACATATAGTAATAAATGTAAATATAATACGTATATTATAAATTTGATAAATTAAACTTAAAAATGTTTGATTAATAATATAATTTTATGAACAATTATTCTATACATTTTAAAAGATATTTCTATTCTTAAGGAACTATCTTTCATCTTTGATGAGAGGGCACCACCTGTTGCTTAGGAATGGGGTAATGTTTACAGAAATATATTAATCACGTTACTTTTATTTGTTGTAACTACTGGTACCATGAGGGTTTGTTTATATTTGAAAAATCAACCGATTAACAAGGTAATAAAACATGCTTCGTTTTCGTTAGAAAAAATATTTATTTGCTTTGTAAACTTCTAAACTTATTATACAAGAATACAAAATTTTGTACAATTGTTTTAAATCAGTGCAACTTAATTCTTGGATTAACAACAAATGTTATTGTTATTTTCTTCTTTATATTGCTTATATACAATCATTTTCAATACTGTGACAAAAATGATGTATGTGTGAAGAAGTATCTTTGTTCAAGCAAATAATATATAGTCTCTTTTGTAGAAATTTATATGTTTCCCCTGTGTACTTCCATACGACTCAAAACTCTGTTGTATAACAATGTATCAACGTCTTTACCCCACACGAAATCCAAATGGCTGAAATCTTTTAATGGTACCATGAACTTTTGAGCATTAGGCAGCTCCATGTATAATTTTCTTATGTCCTGCAAGAATATAATAATAATAGAAGAGAAATTCTATTTGATTTTGGAGGGTAATTATATGTGTATTCATACTTCAATGATATTAGAAGTAATTACTTTAACAATGTACTTTTTCAGAAAACAAGACAAACCTGTTCATTGACCAGTTGATCCTTGCTACTATAAAATATGTAAACAGGTATCTTGATATTGGCAACATTATATTTAGGAGGACGAGCTTGACCATATACTCTTAGGTTACCAAGAAGGCCATGATCGTATTGTACAAAACCTCCTAAAAAAACAGGCGATGGTAATATTGAGTTTTCACTGAAATTGGCTCTTATTATTATTACAAAGCTGTGGAATACTATTGTTACTAACCGGAATTGATTAATTGTGCATAGTGTACAAACTGTCTAACAGCTGCTCCAGCAGGATCATATTGTGCTACTTCAGGTATGAGAGTCTAAAAATTAAAGTTAGCAATGAAATATTGTTTATATTAGAGTACATATGCAACAAAGATGTATTAAATAGTCACCCTGTTTAGCTGTCTGTAGCTTGGTCCACCGACAAGGAATATTATATTAGTACACAGTTCACTTGTAATTGCTTCATCCTGGCAAGCGAGTTTAGCTACTTTTTGTATAAACTCACTTGTTGGTTTAATTTCATACATGCCTATCAGATCTGTGAGTTTCTGAAATTTGATTGAATCATAACATTTAATCTACTTTAAATTATAAAATGAATAGTAAGTAAAGCTGAGTTTTACCTTCAAATCTTTGACAAGAGGGGCCAAAATTCGCAAGGCAGGGTTAGTTGCTTTCTCCATAAAAGATGCCGGAGCTAGAGGGAATGCTGCCTCTATTTTCTCTTGATACTCTGGCCGTTCACTTGCCATCACTAAGAATGCAGTGCCTCCTTGACTGTGTCCAACATACATGAGCTTCTTCTGTTTACTAACCTCTAATATGTGATCGATCATTGCTGGAAGATCATATATTCCTATCTCATGCCAGCTAAAAGAACATATGAATTGAAAATGCGTAAGGACAGTCTAAATGAAGAAATTTAATTGAAACTTATAGAATTACCTGAACATCCAGTATTTCTCATCTTTAGTGGTCATCCACTTATGTTTTCTGGAGTACCTATTACCACGTACATTACCCAACCACACATCATAGCCCCAATCTGCTAATATGTAGCCTACAAATAATAGGAACTCTATTTATTGACATCTTATGTAAAATAATTAGATCGTTTTGCTACTGTATTAATACATTATTTGAATTAATTATATAAGTTCTGTTGACATACCTAAACTCTTTTCAGGTATTCCCATCACCCAAGTGGCAGAACAATCCATAAGACCATGAACAAGCAGAACGGGAGGCTTGTTGCTTGCAATAGGACTTCTCTTTGATCCAACAAGTCTATGCATTTGTAGGATGTGTCCATCCTCTGTGACAACCTCATGAGTTTCACCCAGGTATCCATATTTCTGTCCACGTTCTGCCTGTATAGAAGATAATATCATTACTAACTCAGGATGTCTCTCAGAAATAAAAGACAATATTTTAATTCAAAGTTAAATTATCATTTTTTGTCAGATTCAATTGCAAATTATAAATGACTTTTCAAATCTTAGAATATCAAATCTTAAGAATTAAATAAGTTTCATAAATCTTAATTAGAAAAATTTACTAACAGGGATCGGTGCTTTTGCAAATGGGAAAGCGTCCAAGTCTTCATACTCGGGGTTAATATCATTAATTAACCCATAATTTTCCTTGGATAGTGGTACTCCCAGTACCACTGGAGCAATGCAGCAGAGAAGAGAAAATAGAGGTAACATTGCTACACAGTGATACTGCCCTCCTAAACATTGATGCTCTCTTGGTTCCAACCATATATAGTGCCTTTTATCAAGATACAGATTCGTGTATAAACATACTTGATTATATTTTTATCAGTGATTAATTAACTTGTTCCTGTTGGTAGGAGAGAAGTAATCTTTGTTCATCGATGCATTATCAACGATCTCGAGATCCACTTGTGATATCCGGTCAATACATTTTTCAAATTTTTTAGAACTGATTAAGAAGCGTACAATGTATACAAATATTATGTGACGTAAATCAATAGGGTGTACGAGACAGTTTATGCTATTGTTAAAAGCAATTTTTCTTTTATTCAATTAGACGAAAAAAATATACATTTGTATTTGGAAAGAGTTATAACTTGTAACAATATTTGTAGAAATATTTTATTCATATTGGCGCCAAACTAAAATTCTAATAAATAAAATATGAATTGGCATTGACATTTTTGCAGCAGACTGTCCAGTACTTTATCTAAAAGCATGTGTCAGATTACAACTGATAGAGAATCGTTTAGAACTACTTTTATTTTGTTTTTATGTTAAGGTTTTATTATCTTAAATAAGTCACTGATATCTCTGTACAAATTTGAACACCTGTTTCATGATATAAATAATCTATTTTTTAAGAATTTTTCAAATTCTACACATGAAATTAAATTATTATCTATCTACCTCTTAAGTTCATTTATTTGTAATTACAATATTTTGATGACCTTAGCTCGTTTATTTCAAGATCTGAATACAAAACAGCTAATTACCTAATACTTGAAACAAGGGATTTAAAAAATTACTATTCATTGGTGTAATTATTCTTCAATATATGTATACGAAAGGTTAAGTGTAAAGAGCTGAAAATCTAGGTCAACAAGATGCATAAAATTGTTAACTTATTATTGCTCTGTGAATGTATTGATAAATCTTGCTGAAATTCACGGAGTGAAAGCAACGTGTGCTTCTATAGGCTAACGAGTTCGTGTTTGCTCTTGTGAGACGTCCTAAATATTACATCATATGGAATAACAGAAAAGGGGGTCGTATAAACGTTGTAACCAAGCGAAAGTCATGCATACATGTGCTTCTTGACCGACTAGTTGCAACGAAGCCGGTCACGCTTCACGTTTCACCTTTCATTAATAGTTATCTATGTGACTTAATGCTAATCAATTAATTTATTGAAATATTATAATTGTTACTTGTGCAATTGTGTTAGTTTTACGTTACCTATTGTTTATTTGTAAGAGAAAAACAGTTTGATGCATCTGGTACCAAAGGATTAAGAAAAGAAATCATGTAACATTTAATGAATGATTTTTATATATAATTTAATTAAACTTTCTGCTACTTTACACACCTACATTATTAATTCATAAGTTAATGTATCGAATGAAAAAATAAATACATATATATTTTGTTTTACATTTGTCAGTAAATTATTTTATATATATCAATGCAATAAGTCACGGTACTTAGCTGTATAATTAAAAGTATCTATAGGAGAATAAACAGGTAGAGAAATAATAAAAAAAAACAATATTTTATAAAAAGAAAGTATTTGAACGAGTTTAACAAAAGAAAAAATAGGCCAAGGACTAATAGAAAAAATGCAGTTCATATCTGTGAAGCACTTTATCTTTATCATATTAATCATTTTATGGCCCATAGAAGCTAAACGTTCAGGTAAATCAAAGATAAAAGCTTGAATAAAATTGAATACATGTCTTTCATTAAATTTTTTCTTTTTTTCAGCAAAGCTTCTAACAATTAGGAATCGTGCCATGGTGCACAGGAAAGGAGCTATACGTACAGAACTCAAACATAAAATTTGCTTTGATTTGGTTGGCTGCTTCTCTGATCCACCACCTCATTTGTCATTGAAGCGACCTCCGCAACATCCAAATATAATTCGAACTAGATTTTTACTGTACACTCGTACTAAACAGGATTTACCTGACAGTCTTCAATATGGCGATGATTTTCATTCCATGTTGCAATCAAAATATGACGCGAAGAGGCCTCTGAAAGTTATCATACATGGTTACAAAGGGAGCGGGAGCGACGTTGGAGCTGTTCTTCTTGTGAAGAAACTTCTGATCTTGGTACTTAGAGATTCTTGACTAAAACTGTTAAACATTTCAATTCGTATAGTAGTCTTCTTTATGATAATTAAATGTTTTAACGTATATTGTAACGGTACTTAAATTTCTCATAGGAAGATACAAATGTCTTGGTACTGGACTGGACAAGGGGTGCAGCGACAACATACTCAGCAGCCGTAGCCAATACTGAATTAGTAGGCCGACAATTAGGCTTGGTCCTCCTAGACGCCATCGAAATGGGGACTTTACCTGAAGACATTCATGTGATCGGCTTTAGTCTCGGTGCTCATGTTGCTGGCTGCGCTTCCGAGATACTCAAAAAGAGGAATCTTCTCCTGGGACGTATAACTGGTCTAGACCCTGCATCTCCATTCTTCAGGAACCATTTGTTTAGAGAAAAATCTAGAAAACTGGATGCCACTGACGCTCAGCTTGTAGATGTTATTCACACAGATGGATCTGAAGATTTTGCGGATGGTTTTGGACTCTTGAAACCCCTTGGTCACATCGACTTCTTTCCCAATGGTGGAAGGGAACAGCCTGGTTGTACCGATGTGAAAAACTCTGTTGTTGTTAGTCACTTAAATGGTATAGACCTTTTTTCCTTGATTGAAATATTGATAATATCGTAATAGTCAATAATGTAAATGTAAATAACATTTTAGAGGACAGCTTAACTAGGGAAATCGCATGCAGCCACTTGAGAGCTTGGGCAGTTTTCTTAGAAAGCGTTAAAGCAACTAATGAATCTTGTAAGTTCATTGGCTGGCCTTGTTCGCAAGGAAGAATGTCATATATAAGCGGGATGTGCTTTCCTATGGAGTCTACGCTTTGGTCTCAAGAAATGGGTTACAAGGCTGATCGAGGTGCTTTAGGAATTTATTATTTGCCAACCAGGGGAGAAGAGCCATTTTGCGGTATGAATAACATTCGTAATATTAGAATTCAATTTTTACAAGTGGAACTTCATTTCTGTTCCATTTTTTTTATACATTGTCAGGTCAGCCTTTCAGAGCATCAGTCACGGTATCAGAAAATTCTCCAAAAACATCGGGGATGTTATTCATAAGAATTCGACAACATAATGTGACAACAACATTTAAGATTGAATGCCTGTAAGAAATATTTTTGTAAAAGATATCTCGTTTGAGCGGTTGATCATTTTATAATGATCAATTATATCAGAATGTAAAAATATTGTCAAAATATTTTTCAAGATTATTGAACCGAAGGAATGATCGAATGACCTTCTACAATATCGCGGCAATGGGGCATCAATCATTTTCGAATGATCAGCGGACGATACAAGCATTAGTTTGGTATCAAAGTTTCATAGACGAATCACAGAAAGACTCGAATAAAATTTCCTTTATAGACACATTGTTCGTAAATAAGCTCATGCTCGAAGATAGAAAAGGAAACAGGCATGTAATCAATACGTTATATTTAAATTGAATAATAAGAAATTAATAAGAAATATCTGAATTAAAATTTTTTAATTTGGTAAAAAGCAGATTGTATAATCGATTATTTTCTATTTCAATGGTTTTTAGGTGGGAGTATTGTACGGAAAACGCTGTAATAAATTCACAACGAAGGACACTGGTCCTACGACACGGAAACTGCAATTTTTCATAAACAAAACATTCATCATGGGAAATTACTGTGTAATCTCTGTGACTGATTCCCTTATCACGTTACAGATACATTTTAAATAAATAGAGATCAGATAAATAAAACAGGTGTTTAATTGAACAATCTTCAAGCGATAAGCTGGCGAAAAAATTTTCTATTATTAAATTGTTCAATGTGACAGATGATCCATTAAATTTTCGTAACATAATTTCATAAAATTCTTCTATGTAAAGGGTGTACTTTTCAAATTGCGCGCTTTGCCAAGGTGGCACGTATCTATGATACATAACCTTTATTTCCGTTCAAAGTGGTTTATTTAAATAGTACAAAACAATGTTAAGTTTAATTAAACGATCAAATGCATTTTTTAGTAGATGTTCCAATCAAATTCATAAAACTGTGAGTATCATTATAAATGATTTTTCTTGAAAGGTATTTCATTATTTCATCAGGGAAGTACTTATAACTGTATACTTTGATTGATGCAAATAATTCATAATTTATAATTAACTACAAACATGATTCAGTAATGTCACTGTTTACTTTTAATTCTTTACAGACAACATTTCAGAGCTTAAACATTTGTAAACAGTATTATCCACAAATTAAGCATATAAACACATGTAAAGTTTTGTGTCAAAAGAATCATATTAGTGAATTGCCAAAGAAAAAAAGGCTTCAGATTAAAAGTCCCATCACATGGAAGAGTTTAACAATTACAAGTATATTTGCAGGAGCTCTTATATCATATATATGTTACTTAAAGCGACAAAAAGATTTATTCATAGAAAAGGAAAGAAGACGTGAAATAGGAAAAGCTGCAATTGGAGGAAAATTTGAATTGATAGATTCCAATGGAAAATTAGTAAAATCAGATGATTTCTTAGGAAAATGGATTATGATTTATTTTGGATTCACACATTGCCCAGACATATGTCCAGATGAACTTGAAAAAATGGCAAAAGTTGTTGATCTTCTACGTACGTCTTTAACTTATCTAAATGTCAGTACTTTAAATGCATCTTACATTCTTATCGCACTTGTGTTTCAGAGACAAAGCACGATATGATAGTTCAGCCTATATTTATCTCTGTGGATCCTGATAGAGATTCGCCACAAGTTGTTGGAAAATATATCAAGGAATTCTCTGATAAATTTATTGGTCTCACTGGTTCAAGAGAACAGGTTGCAAAAGTGTGTAAAGCTTATAGGGTTTATTATAGTAATGGACCCAAGGACAAGGAATCTGATTACATTGTTAGTATCCTTAATATTATTTAATATTTCTAAAATAAATATTGATATTTATGATCTATTTTAGGTTGACCACACAATAATCATGTACTTAATAGATCCTGAAGGCTTATTTGTGGACTATTATGGTCAGACACATACAGCAGATCAGATTGCTTACAGTATCTATCTGAATAAACTGAAGTTTAATAAACTCCAGCAGGATGACTCTTCTTGGTTTCCATCGTTATCGTTTAAAAGAGATCCACAGCCTTTGTAATTTATTTATATTGTAAACATTGCATTTCTATATAAATAGAGAATATTCTTTAAATATTTAGGGGATGTATTTATTCGTTTACTTAATAAATTGATTAAGTATTGAACTCGAAATTGTAAATAAAAAAGAAGCAATCTAACAAACTGGAGGAAAACATTAGATATATCCCTAGCAAGTGATACATTCCCTAGCATATTCCCTAGACATACATATATTGCATTGACATTTTTGTGACATTTGTTGACATTCGTAGTTTACATACTTTGTGATATCACTTGTGAATATCATGTTGATATTTCTGATGTTCATTTAATTTATAGAAACGATTGATTATAAAGTGCATTCAGAAGACACGTCTTTTTATATTTAAAGAAAACTTGTGAAATTGTCATGTGCAATTGTCGCGTATCCATTATTTAGAGGTTAGAATTCAAAATTTACATTTGAAAATTCAAATTTTGACAGCAGATAAACTAACACGTAGTTTCGATTAAATTTCTTTATTTTTAGAATTTTGATATTTTTTGAAAAGTTAGATTAAAATGGCAGAAGATTTTGGAAGAGAAACTCCACCAATGTACACGACAAACGAAGAGTCAAAAACCGCTGGTCAGCCTCTTTCTGATTTTCTTTTGCAGCTTGAAGATTATACTCCAACGGTAATATTAAAAAAAATGATCACTGTCATCAATATTCATTCATTCATTTTTAAAAAAAACTTAAAAAATATAACTATCGCAGGTACCTGATGCCATCAGTGAACATTATTTACACACAGCTGGCTTCAATGCTACAGACCCCAGAATGTAACAAATAGTTCATAAATACATGATTTCAATTAATTTTTAAATTTCAACCTCACTTTTTAAATGAACATCTTAATCAATTGTAGAGTACGACTGGTTTCTTTGGCAGCACAGAAATTCATATCCGAAATAGCAAACGATGCTCTGCAGCATTGCAAGACGCGTGGTGCTAATCAAAACACAAAAACAAAAGGAAAGGATCGGCGTTACACATTAACCATGGAGGATCTCACACCGGCAGTTGCGGAATACGGAATAATAGTCAAGAAACCACATTACTTTGTTTGATTTAAAAGCCACATGTTTCATACCTACAAAGTTCAACAAATATAACCGACAGTATAATTAATACAGCTTGAAGTTTGTATGTGATAGATTTTGTGGGTAACAAAATTTCAAATACATTGTGTTCTATTTCAGAAACCTGTCTTATAGTTATCCTAATCAACAGAAACACACAAAAACTAAAAGATACCCTTTATTTTGTACTTTTCTAAAATAAACTATTATTTAAAGGCAGAGGGAAACTTTTAATGTCAAACTCAAGGAAGCTTTTTAACATTTATGTACACATTAAGAATATTTTTTATACAAAGATATCATGTAGCAAGAGTTTTTATTTATTGATAAGTAGACAAATAAATAAAGGGGATACAACATGCTTAAAGATAAGTATCCCTTGTATCTAAAGTAGCGATTATACAAGAATTCTACGATAATACAAGAAAAAGAGGGAAGGTAGGGAAACAGAGGTTCCTTCAGCTGATAATGGCTAGAAAAAATATGATCATTTTCCTAGTGACTTTCGATTGCTTCAGGTGTAGCGAGAGTCTCCGCATGCGCTTCGTTTCCCAAAAAAAAACCATCAGCCATATTGGTGTGTTGTATCGCTATCCTCAGTAATTTTGAAGATCAGTGAGGTATTTCTGTCCTTCGTCGACACGTTTCTGCTCGTATCCGTAGCTCCGTGAATAAACGAGAATGCCAATTCTCGATTCGCCATAAACAGATCGCCGTCCGCGAAATTTCATGACATTCGCGAGCGAGAAAAAATGTTTGGTTAACGTTGCCACCTGGGTTCACGGAAATCGGTCTCTTTAGGAGCATGTCGTATAAATAAATGCGTACTATTTTCCATTTGACCGAATGCCTATTAAGTATTAACACCTTCTCCAGCGAGTGTTTCTCGCCTCGTCGCGAACACCATATGTTCAAATGTTAAACTGATCTTGAGAAGAATTAACTTCCAATGAAAGCATTTCGTCCAACTGTTTGTCGACCTTTCCTACTTTCGTCTTTACTTTTATCTGGCTCTTTATTTGTCTCGAATATCCGACTGTTAAGTATAAAGTCGCATTCGTTGTTACCGTTGGTGTCGGCGTTTTACTCGCATATGTCGTTCGATTTTCGTTGAGCAACAGGTATAAAGTCGTCGACACGATTCACCAAGAATCCACCAGCTGCATCTTTTCAATTGTTCACATATCATACTAGTAGAGAAAAAAATATATTTTTAACCATTCAATACATTGCTAAGTTCCTTTTTTTTTTCTTTGATCGAATAGAACTTACATTCGTGGCAGACTCTTGGAGGGCCGTCTTCTTGTGATTTGAAATTGTTTACGCATTAATCACATTCGATACCAGTCGGATTTGTAACTAGATCTGTTCTTCCAGCTTATAGCCCATCATGACGGATTCTATGAAATTTGGTCCAGAATGGTTTGTATATAGATTGTGATTTAGTCGTTATGGTGTTTTATGTGTTTTCTACATTCTTTTCTTTTTATACGTACATAGGTTGCGTAATCTGTCTGCAGACAGTTGCAATAACAGTGGAGGCGGTGGAGGTACTACAAGCTTAACTACCCCACGTTATCAATTAGCGGAACATAGATATGGAAGAGAAGAGATGCTGATTCTATTTGATCGTAATTGTAAACCACCTGAACCATTGACAAATTTCTCTACGTTATACGTTGAGAAAACTCAACCTCCTTTGGCTCTTATACAAATGACAGAGGATGAAACGGTAATTAATGATATATGTTTTCATATTCCATATAATATTGATCTTTGAAAAGAATTCAGTTTGAGGAACACCTAATAGAATTATCAATCTTGATCAGTTATTACTTTCAATGTTATGATACATGTTGACACTATATTTACTAACTTATCATTTGTGTTAATAATTACCATCGTTTAACAGTTGTATATTCTTATTGTATCCTATATTGGGAACTGCCTCGTGAAGTCAGTTTGTATCTATAAATATAACACACTGGAGCCCTTGTGCCAGTTCTTCATAGCACTATCCTATCTACTGTTGTGTACTTTACATAATCATTGCTATTTAGTTATTATTCTATATTTCATTGTATATTCTTCAGTTAATAAGTTCAAAACACTTTTTATGACATGGTTTCATATATTCACGCATTATTAACCACTCACAAAGAGTAACCTAATGTGTTGGCATTTTATTTTTCTAGCGAATGTGGAATGGAGGTATAACCAATGTTGGTGGTCAAGGAAGGGGTGGAAGCGTGGATCGCGGGGGGCGTGGGAGAAATGGAAGAGGAAGTTTGTACTCATCCCATTATTCCCGAGGAGTTGGGTTTGATGATTCAGGGGATGGCAGAAGAATCGACAGTATACCATTTCCAGTATGTAACTTCTGCAACTCTATAAGAATAAGATTTCCAGCAGGAGTTAGAACCTTTTGGTCAAATAGTAAATGTGTTTCGTATCCAGGGAAGAAACCGCCCATTCGATAGATCTCAAAGCGAACGTGGGTGGTCGGAAAGAAATGGGGCCTCAGATCCAGGTGAATGGAATGGCTCTACTAGTCCTAGGAAGGAATTAAGTCGTGGGCCCGGTGGTAGTTCTGTCGTGGAAGGCAACTGGCGGCGTCATCGTGGTGGTACAGAAGATGACGATGGCTGGCGTAAATGGGGTAAGTTTATAAAACGCCTTTTCTACTGCTATCATTCCAACAACAACCATAATATAACCCATTCAAATTATCGTTACCAGGCAGAAGTAGTTGGCGCGAAGGGGGAAGTATGGACAGAGATAGGTTAGATCGAAATGAAGGGGACGGCGAGGAAGGCATGCAGAAAGGTGGTAGATGGGAGCATCGTGGGAACCACAGAGTACCACACGATTCGAGTCATCATCCGCCTGCCCGTACTGCTCGTACTTGGGAGTCGAATCATCATGATATTAATCATGACAATCTTCCTGAATGGTGCAGTTCCTTTTCTAAATAATGTTACATGATTTTCATGAATACTGAACTGTTCTCATTACCATGAAAATTCGTTTGCAGGGCCACCGAGAATCCCAGTGAAAGCGGAGGAAGTTTCGACGCTTCTGGCGCATTCCACGGTGGAATATATTCAGACGACGACGAGGACGGGGTGATTAGTGCGGGTGGTACTCAAGAATCGAGGACTCGACGTGTGTCCGAGGGGAGTGCTGGTAGTACAACGAAATCTAGTGGGAAGCATTTATCTTACAGCTCGTCTCAGGGACAGCCTATAAGTCGCGGCACCAGCAGCAATACACCTAGTACAATCAATAAAGAAAGACAGAAGTCTTTGCATTCGTTTGACGCCAAAGAGAACGACGTTGAGAAGGAGAGGAGAAGCAGTTCCCCGCCGCCGTCAACGAAACCGCCGATCGCTGCCACGGACAGTACGCCGACGAAGACGTCGTCGTCGACGTCGCCGACGTCTGATAGCGGGCAGAAGAGAAGCAGCGCGGTAACGACGACGACGACGCCGACGACAACGGAACAGACCGAGATCGGGAAAGTAATGCCGATCGACACGGGGAATAATAAATCTCCGAGTAAAACGCAGGCTAGGGAGGAGGTTCAAAAGACGGAGGTAAAGGTGGAGGCGATTCCGAGCACTGCGAAAAGACAGCAGCAAATCCCGGTGCAAACGGAGCCTCAGAAAAGCATCGTGCACGCGACGGGGACGGAAGACACGAGGCAGAAAGGCGACGACGACTTGGATAGAATGAAGGAAGAGGCAGACGCATTAGTGGCTAAATTAATGGCAGACGAAGAAAATCACAGGGAGAAAACTACTGCCAGTGTACCGCCTTCTATTGGTAACCAATCTTCTACAGTTCCATCAACGAATGGACAGGAGAAATGGTTTTACCGTGATCCGCAGGGTGAAGTTCAAGGTCCGTTCTTAGCAAGCGAAATGGCGGAATGGTGTAAAGCCGGTTACTTCACCGCTAGATTAATGGTAAGAAGAACATGTGACGAGCGGTACACAACTTTAGGGGAGTTGATGAAGATATCTGGTAGAATACCATTTCTCTCCGGGCCTCGCATTCCTCCCTTGAAGGTACATTTGATTTTACTGGGTGTCCTCGGAGGGACCGAAGCAAAGGAAGGAGATTGTGTTGATTCATTTAGAGTATCGTCGTTTGTTTCAGTTAACGGATCAAGGGATCCCCGCAGTTCCTAACACAGTACCTGCCGGTTTATCCGCCTTGCCGAAGGCTGGTATAGAAGACCCACTTCTTTTATTCCAATACCAGCATATGCGGCTACTGCAGAATCAGCAGCTGCTGCTCAGGCAAATGCGAACGTCGGCCATAGCGAAACTCTCGCAGTCCGAGCACTGGGCGAATTTGAGTTCCGTCGAACAGAATCAGTTAATTTATCAATACGTTATCCATGACTCAGAGATCCCAGAAGTCCCGCCAATATCCACCGCCCCATTCGTACCTCATTTGCCGTCACAAACCTCGAATCCTGTTATGCAGCTTTTCTCGCAGATGCAGCAGGTTCGTGAATGATTAAATGCTGCATTTAATCGGAGACTTGTTATTGGTACCGTCGTAATTAATTGTACAACGTGTGAACGTCCACAGGCTAAGCTTCAGCCGGATGCTCATCTAACGTCGAATCCTCATTCCACCACAGCTGCCCATCCTCCTACAGTAGATCCCATACAACAGCTCATACAACAAATGGGTGGGATACAAAACATACCAGGGATGCAACAGACAAATATAAACTCGACGCCACCCGCGACGCAACAACAACAACAACAAGACAATCCCATTAAATCGTTGTTACGCCAGCTCAATGTTAACGCTAACGGCCATCCACAAACGCCGCACATGGACACCGTTTGGCCGCACCCTCCGCCACAAATCAATCCACAATTTAACGCGCAGAATTGGTTGGCACAGGTATACACGCCGCGGACGTA